GATTTTTACTAAGGATTTATTTCAAAAACATTTTCACCAAAAGCGCTTTCAGTTATTTTAAAGGAATTTCCAAACAAGCCCCTGAATTAGATAGATAACTATATTTAAGATATGAGTAATAAACAAAACCAATTGTGTTCCATTTGAAGGTTCTTCACTTATAAGTGAGATGCTTTAAGTTTAACTCAGTGATTGCAAATACCAGTTACAAAATACTCCATTAGTGTTTAAATTGTAAAAATAGTACCAACCATTTCATCAATTTCTTTCTTCCCTAGAAAATAAATGCAAGCAACCAATTAAACAAAAGGGTAAGGGAAAGGTTAGAATTGCGTGCAAAACATGTTAATTATGTTAATTCCAGCAGGAAATTTGGACTTTTGGCCATCCATTTCTGCATTAATTCCAGGGGATATGTTGTGTTATATATAATATAGGAATGTGATATCCACACACTTCCTTTTACTTCTTCCACACTTTTTTAGTTTTCGACCGTCGGATTGGATGAATTGAAGAGGATCAACGGATATAAATTAACAAGGAGTGTGTGAGAAGTAAAATAGGATGTGTGAATAGCACATATGCTTACACATGCTTCATCCGTTAATTACTCTCTTATAATTTCTATTTTAATTACTGTGGATCGATGTGGCTCTTTAATATTTCTTCCTTCTGTTTGCCGTATACTCCAACATCATCATCATCAACATCCCATAGATTCAGATTTCAGACTCAACATGTTACACGCTTATTCTCAATGGCGTGTGTCAACCTATGTATGTGTGTGTGTATATATATGTGTATGTATATTTATATACATTATACACACAGATGTACTAACTACTTAGATTAGATCTGCTTAATTTCTATGTTACAGCTTACAAGAAAGGGGTTTGGTCCAACCAGAAAAACAAGTCACATGCACAACTAAACTACTCTATTTATGTGACAGCTCTACAATATGTAAAATATTAAATAATTTTAAATAGGGCTTGTGTTGGATTGTTTATGTAGAAAGTTTTCCGCTCATAAGCGATTTTAATAGAAGTGTTTTAACTAGAAACACGTTGAATCACCTGTTAGGTGTTCCTCTAAACAAAAAAAACATATAATTTTTTGTCAAATATTATCATAAAAACGTTTTTAACTTTTTCGAAAGTAATTTAGAGCAGAACTTTTTACGCTTCTGTTCAACAATGATGAGGAGGTGAGAGACAGAAAGTGTGAGAAACATGTGGAATATTATTAAAAGGAAAACTAATGAAAAGGGCTTGAAAACTTTGAGTTTTAATGATAAGGACAAAATAAAGGGTAAAGTGAATAGTATCAGGATTGACTTTTTAGTGTAAAAATGTGGTTTTTCGTTAAAGTGAACAATATCGGGTGTTTTTCGTTAAAGTTCCTATTATTAAATGGGTGTTGCCCCATCGTCGCAGAAGAAATGGGCCTAATGTATTTCCAAAGGCAGATACGTCAATACAAGAATTGATGCTTCAGTTCATGATTGAGGCAATGGTCAATACACGACAATACTCAAACCAAAAACCAATTAGCCCAAGAGAAGCCAGCGCATGGCATCAGTGTGGTAGTGGGACTGTGAGGACCAACTCTTGAGATAGTTTCTAACCAATTTGAGTGCGCTATGGTCACTGGCACAGAGATATACGTGGACGATTTCAGACTGTTCATGTATTTGAAACTTATAATGCATAAACAATCGTCTGCGTAGAAAATTAATGATAGCACGTTTCATATGTGGACGACTGATTGTTTAACTCTTTAAATAGTTGTCTACGTGAAGAAGCATTCCATTTGCTAATATTGTAGGTGTTAGCTGGCCATGTTCAATTGGAGAAGGAGTACCCACTCCACTTGGCACTTGCTCTTAGCAGGCAGGATTGCATCTATAGGCATTGCATTGTCCTATTTTGCCAACTACTCTTGTCAGCAATCCCACATTGTGTGTTTTTCACATTATTGTCCACATATTTGTGGTTCCTACAAAACTTCTTAACCCAAGCTTTGTTTTACATTAATACATATATGTATGTGTATATATGTGCATACTTTCTTCACCTTGGTCATTGGATATATACCTTTGGTTCTCTTTTTCTTTTTCTTTTTTTGTTTAACAAAAGGTTGAACCCCATAAATCTAGACTTGCTTGATGAAAGCTTTTCTTAATTTAGATCAAATTTGGCAAATAATACACATTGCTTAGGTTATAATGCGAGGTAAGTCATTGATTAGTCTAAACATAAAACTCACATTACACCAATCAAACAGTTATTAGTGATTTATGCATGTGTGAGTGACGCATAGCAATGCAATTTGTGATATGAAAAAAAAAAAAAACCTAATATGTAATTAGAAGTTTTTCTGCATCAGTATATTGTATCTCAAAATGAAGAGATTCTCTCATGTAACTAGTTTACTATATATCCTTCGTTTTTTTTTTAAATCATTAATAATAAGTGACTTTTTAAACACATAACAATCGTTTATTAAACTATAACACTACAAAGACTAAAAATGAGTTCCATGAATTTCTTCTTAAAATGGTAATGCTTGGGAGAGTCAAATGATCCATATGAGGTGAAAGCATGTATTGAAGTGTCGGCAATTTTGTGATTAACTCCAACATATCACATAGCTTTATGACCACAAAATTAAATAATTGATTTTCTTACGATAGCATATTTTTTTAAAGTTGCACATGTTCTAGTAGATACTTGCATCAGTGTACATACATTAGTTGTCTTTTCAACTTCCCTACATAAATTTAAAGTACTTTAATCAAATATTAATAGAAAACACAAAAATAATTGATTAATTTGAAGTACTTTAATCAAATATTAATAGAAAACATAAAAATAATTGATTAATTAGTCTCACTATATCTTGAACTGACAGAAAGATAATTAGGGCAGACGGCAATCCAAATCCAAATTGGTGTTATTTATATTAATTTAGTACAGTGGAAAGCAATAACGGGAGGATATGCCCTCTTTGATTGCTCCCTACCCAAGAAAAAATCAATTAATCTTTTTGCCCTTTCTTATATGATATCCTCATCAATAATTAAATGTAACGCTTAAACCATTACACACAGTTGTTTTTAATAGAATTTGGCTTAGTGATGGATTGTTTTGGTGGTTGGTGTTTTTCACTTCAACCCGCTGTATCTTAGATAAAACTCTTTCTTCTGCTTTTAGTGTAAAATATTACTTGTAAGAAAAATAAAATAGCATTTGGCTTAGTGGTAGTTATTTTTACTTTGTATGAGAAAGTCTAAAGTTCAAATCACACATGTAAATGAAATATCTTTTATGTTGAGTACTTAGTTATGTTTGGCTCTATTATGATTCCGCATCTCTGTTGTGTGTGTGCTCTATCTCGTTGTAAAAATATTTTTGTAAAAGCCTTATTGTTTGTCAGAAAAAAAAAATCGATAATTCTACTTGACCATGCAAAAACTAACACACTTCTAGACATACTCTTTAATAAAAATGAATCTTACTATTGTATGTAGAACCTATTACAAAGTGTCAACATTATTAACATTTTTACTGGTAGTGCTATCCACATACCCTTTGTTAATTTTTGTAATATGATCTTGTTAAATTCATTCAATTCGACAACTGAAAATTAAGAAAGAAGTGTAGAAGATGAAAATGGATAGCACCACCGAATAAAAATTATGTATTTAGGCTTGTTGCTCAGCAACTCCATATCTGTTGTTAATTATAAGTATGGTAACTCTCTCAGTTGATCAAAAGTTTGATGAAAGATGGTTGTTCATCCAATTAATCAGCCCATTGTATTTCTGCCATATTAATATTATCTCTTGCTGACAGACCTATCGGAGCAACTTGCTCTGCTTTCAAAGTTACAAAAAACTAATTTACCTAATTAGACAATTATTGATAACTTTTCAAGTTAATTAAAAAAAATTGCTTCTCTAACAAACAGCTTTAATCTCTCTTTAATATTAACTTTATCTAAACTATTATTATTGTTACAGCACCTGCATTGGGGCGAGGTTATTATACTGCCTGCAGGTCTCCGAGACACTCATTGATGCAAGCAAAGAAAAAGTTTAAGACAGATAATGACCCTTGAAGAACAAGTAATCCATAGACCGTGGCTAGCTACTTTATTATTTTAACCTATTTTCTCCAAAATTAAACTTATCTTTTGATCAGTTAATTGCTTAAACACAACAAGGCAGTAAAGGTGAACACTGAGAAGTTGATGAGTATCATCATTGGGTATAAATTTATGATTGAGACAAGGCACGAGTGCCCTTCCCCACTTGTCACAAGTGTTGAAATTAAATTTGCACATTACTGTGAGTAATGGAGATGCCTAAACTCGTTAACTTGTAACAGAACAAACTGCCATAAGAAAGCTAAAGACCGGGCCGGGCCTCTGGGGGGTGCGGTATGTTAGTCAAAGGCTCTCTGACAATCTAATTAGTAAGCAATATTAAGATTCAAGCACTCAACACAAGTCTTTTTCTTTTTTTTTGCTGCATTACAGGTTTACAACATGGGTGAGCAGCGCAAACCTTAGCAAAAGGTCAGTGTACTCCAGCTGTAAAATGTCAGTATACTTATCCAAGTGTTTTTCTCATTCCTCTTTTTCCTTTATTCCACTTTTGCTTTATGCTTTTTCTCGGTTTTTCTGCTTTTTGTAATGATCTCCGAGACTGATCGAGTAGTGGGTGGGGTTTTTGTTTCCCACTCCCTTTCCTGCAACTTTCAAAACTGCAGGGGTTGGCAGCAGGAAATCTGATCTCTACAGTCAACTTACATCCATCATTTTGACGTCGAGCATCCATCTCCTTCCATGGAGGTGCGTCGGGAGCATAACGAGGCCCTCTTTGACTGCACCCATAGTAGAATTTCGAGTAGCTGGACTTCCAAACATCAATTGCCTCACGCCCCTTTTCATTCTGCTTTGTGTTCATAACCAAGCGCTGGGAGTACCACTCGAGATCAGACGCCAAGATTTGGATCACTTAACATCTGTAGAATCGAATGAGGTATAATACGCTGAAGTGGAAGTTCAATTGATGCAAAAAGCCCAATTACTGAGGTGATCGTCCGCACAAACTCTTCTCGAAATCTCCAGCTTTTGTGCACCCAGGCACTAGATCCTGCTCTTTCAACAATGATTGTCGGAGAAGAAACCTCTATGAGAGTAAGCAGGAGCATCCGAGCGGCATCGCGAACAGGCTGTTTGCCATCGCCCAAACGCTCGACGACGGTGGGAACAAGCGTATTGAAATGGAGCTTGAGGTGGTCGCCGGAGAGCACGGTGGCGGAGGCCAGTGCCTGCAGAGCGCCCTGAGAGACTAGGAAGTTGTTGTCCTTGAGAAGATCCTAGCAGCAATCAATGAGCTACGTCACCTCTGACGAACTTAGGCTTTTTCTGAACGCTTCCAGAAGCTGATGCAGGCGCTCCACTCCCGCCATGCGCTCCTTGGTAGGGGTGGACACTTAGAACCGAAACCGAAACACGAACCAAATTGAACCGCACCGAACGGTTTGGTTTTGCAGTTTTGAAACCAAACAGCAACATAGAAAACGGTTTGGTTTCAGTTTTGGCTTTTGAAAACCGCACTGAAACCGAACTGCACCGCAAATATTAATAAACATTTAATTAAACGTCCATATTATATTTCATGTTTTAATTGGTTGTTTGTTAGAATCCATACACTTAGTATGGGACTCAACCACACTAGAATATCATCATTTATCACTTTCTTTCATTCATTAACTTGAAGGACCTTTGTTATTTTATACCATCACACACACATATATATGTACAAGGGTGGACTAATCTTGTTATCAAGAGTCGAACAATGATCTAATGAAGTCCACTCATTTGAAGCATGATATCACATATTCTAGTATCAAAGTTTCGCTCATGTTTAATGAATTCAAATTTATTCAACTTGTTTTATGATAAACAATGTAAGGGACACCCTTTTGTTGCACAAACATGTTTTAACATCACAACTGCATGTAACATGCTAATTGTTTACATAACAAATGTCTTTTTCCTATTACTATTGGGAAATGCTTATTAATATGTTAAATTGCAAATTGTACATTTTTTCTTAAAAACCAAATCAAAACCGTTTGAAACCACATCGAACCGAACTAAACGGTTTGGTTTCATTTCGGTTTTGGCTTCAAAACCGTACCAAACTAAACCGTAAAAAATTTCGGTTTCGGTTTTGGTTTCACTTAAAACCGCACCAAACCAAACCGTGCCCACCCCTACTCCTTAGTGTCCTTGGCACGCGCGAGCTCCAGCGTTTCCTCCATCGGAGCAATTTTAGGGTTCTCTGGGGGCGTGATCTAGTGTAGTCGGGCTCAGATCTGGTGAATTAGGTGCCTAATGAGGGCATAAGATAGAGAGAGAAAGTGGGGAGAGAGATGCGGAGGATGATTGTGGCTGAATTTACAAGGTATTCCCTCTCTCTTCTGAGTCCAAAGGTTGAAGACGATGTTTGGTTCGAATTTTAGAGAGAGAAAGTTTTAGAGAGAGGGAGAGGGTGAAATCTGGAGTTAAAGACATGAAAAGACGCGGTGGTAGCTGTGTTGTTGAGAGAGAGATGGAAACTGCAATTTCAAAGAAGGTACAGATAATGGAGAGAAAGATGGAAACGGCAGAGAGTTGGAGGTTTCCGAGATGGCTGACAAACATGGTGGTAGCTGTGTTGTTGCCAAAGTTGCAGATGATAGTCCAGGCGACGGGTCTTTGTCTCTGTCTTTAAATTGGGCAGTTTTTTTTTGGGAGAAAAATGGGGCAGAAGATTCAAGATAAAGAAAAATGGGTTTTTGGATGGTTTCTTAAAACTGTACAGTGTCTGCGAAGGTTTTCTGGAAAAGCCCAAAGAGTGAGGTTTTATGGGTTCTTGGGTATCTGCAATTTCACGGTGGTAAGATGAAAAAATAAAAGAGAACCGACATAGCTTTTTGTGTCGTTTCCCACAGACGGCGCCAAATATTGATGCATAAAACCGGAGGGGTCTTGGGACAACGTAAATCCGACTGTGAATTTGCAAGAAAGTAAAGAACACAAGATGTATCGTGGTTCACCCCAATGTTTGGGCTACGTCCACACTGATGTTAATATGGTTTCACTCTGAATGATGAATATATAAGGAGGTTAGAGGTAGTGTGCTATCTAGCCTATTTTCTGTGTGCTTTCTTCCCATGGCCTAAAACTTGACCTCCCCTAATGAGGAGGGTGTGGAGTCCTTTTATAGAATAAAGACTCCTTACTTATTACATATTTGCCCCTTCATTTATCACATAATTACATCTGAGTCCCCCCAAGTATTTATACGAGGTCTAAATACGGAGGCCCCAAATATGGTGCAAACAATGAGGGTTAAAGAGAAAGGAAGGGGAAGACCAAGCCATAAATGGAGATTCCCTTGAAGCCTAGAGGAGAACCCTTCATTTACAAAATGAGGGAGATAAGCCATTAGAGGGATGAGTAACACAAAGAGATAGAAATGAACACAGAAAGAGAGAGCCACCTAGGAAACAAGCCTAGAGAATTCCATTTAGCCCAGAAACATACTTCAAGACTCAAGAATGATCATCCATGCTACCTTAGTAATTCCCACAATCTTCCATTTAAGATCCTAACCATTAGAAGCCTTGTTACTACCTTAGGAAAGCCTAAATTATCCAGCCAAGAATGCCATGTAACAATGCAAACCCCTTCTCTCTCATGTTAAACTAGTAATCTTCTAGCTTTCATACCACACTTCACTTGAGCAAGTCCTTATCTTGATCAATCATGCTATCTTTGAGTTGTTGATATCACTGGGGTATTTCCTATGACAAGCCAACTCTTTTGAGATATTCCGGGACTTTGTACGAATCCGAACCAAGGGAGACAAGAGGACGTTCTCAAAGCCCAAGTCCGCCTCGACCTAAAAGTTCACCCCCCAAACAACTTGTTAAGATAACGAGTTTGACAAGATACAACCCATTTAAGATAACGAATATGACATAAAAACGACACAAATACAAAAACCATGACCCGTTTGCCAAGTGTAGTTATGAGGGTGCTTGGTCAACGAATTTCTCAATTTTCTTGGATGCTGCTTTTAGTAAACTAATGAAAAGGGCTTGAAAATTTTGAGTTTTAACGATAAGGACAAAATAAAGGGTAAAGTGAATAGTACCATGATTGACTTTTTAGTGTAAAAATGTGGTTTTTCGTTAAAGTGAACAGTACTGTGAGCTTTTCGTTAAAGTTCCCTTCTATATGCCATTGGGGTCCTTACAATGACAAATCTCCGACTCCGAGTCAGACAGGAAATGTGCATGCCCCAAACTTTACAAATTTTGTTGCATTGCACTGCATGCTGGCTATTAATTAATAACTATTAGTAATGCTAGAGTTTTGTAAATAATCAACAGTATGGGATGCGACCATGACAGTATACTCGTATTATATAAGTTTTGTTCTTGTAAAATGTTCACACAAAATTCAGTAGGCCTAAAGAAATTTGATGATCATTAGCCATTTCTTGAGATGCTCGCATAATAAACGCGTACACCGATATTTTTGGCCATTAAATTATATTGTTCTTGAATATTTGATCGTACATCCAATCAGTCGCTCTAGTGAAATGCCATATAGTAGAGCATAGTAGAAATCTTTCCAAACTCTTCCGAATAACGGCTTTGCTATATTTATCTCACCGATACAAAAGCAGACGATCGACTCCCAGTTGCTGATTTACTCTATGTAATACAAAAGCAAATGTTTACTCTATGTAATAATTGAGATGGATCGATTTGGTAGGATCTAAAATCACTACTCATATATGATGATTATCCAATGAGAAGTAAATTATGATTACAAGTTCAACTAATTTGGTTTTTTCTCCACCCAAGAGCTTATTCCCCACAATCCAAGGAAGGCTATAAGAGGCAAACCCAAGAAAGAAGAACAAAACTTCACAATTACAAGCAATCTATTTGAAAGAAAATAGTACTATCTCCTTGTCCTTGAAAAAGAAAATGACATCTGCCTCTCTTACTTCACAATTCACTCTGTATAATGTATTTAAATTACTAACACCATTTGTTCTTTCTCTGAAAAATTCCATGTTTACTCGAACGATGACATGAAATTCGTTGAGGAAGATGCAGTAAGAACCTTTCTGTTTTCCACCAGCACGATGAATTTTAATGAACTGCACTTACTTAAATCTGTGTTGAAGAGGAGAAAGATGCTGGCATGGCATGAGAAACAATAACCGGTCTGTGTCTATTAAATCTATATAGAATTTAACTATGAGCTGGGGATGATGGTTCCAACGTAGCCAAATCCACAGATCAGGAACGTAATGGTTTGGAGGAAGAGGTATATGAAGTAGTTGTTCTTCCCGTGCACAAAGTCATAGCATCCACAGATGAACAGAAACACCCCGAATCCCAGCTCCAATAGGTGAAGCCTGTTAAAATTGAATATTAGGTGAGAATGGTAGTAAAAAATAAAGAGTAGACGAACAATCTCGGTATGCTTTCTTGTCACCACCGGATAACATTAATTTTACAATTAATAAACTCATTTGAGGTTGGATTGGATTAACTAATGCAAAGATTCTGATTTACAATAACGAAAAGGGTAAAACCGAAAAAATTATTCTTACTTGGGGCTGAGGGATTAGGTTTGTAGGAAAAGAATTAAAACTTAAGGAGCATGTGATTGGTTTTGTGCCAATTATTAGAGTTATGCAGAGAAGACAGGGTTCTCTATTTGCCAGTTAAAAATGTGGTGTCAATGCAAATAGTTACAAATTTCTATGCACATTGCACATGTCAAAATCAATTAAGAATTAAGAGCAAGTCTGCAGTAGGAAGAACATATAGTGTTAGCGAAATTTTACCTGTTTCCGAACTTGAATCGTGGCCTTTTGAAGAGTTTGCTGGCAGGTTTAGTCTTGTTAGCATCTGCTGTTTTGTTCTTGGCAGCCTCTGCTGCTTTGTTTTTGACAATATCTCCGAGCTTTTCTGTGACAACCCACTCGTTAGATCTCGCAGTCTCTAGCAGGCCAATCAATGTAGCCTTGGTCCGGTGCAAAGACATCACATTCTCAAAAAGAATCCAGTAAAACAGAAGGTGAATTGACCTGTAATGTTCAAGAATAATATTAAGTACTTTAATCCTATAGAAGAAACACGTAACGAAAGACAATTGATCAAGAAATGAAGGGGAGAGTCTACAAGACCTTGGAGTTCCAACGGAGTTCAGAATGGTGATGATGGAAGGAATATATACTGCCCCCCAGATTGGAACATAAACTTCAGGAACCAAAATGGTCAGAGGAAGTACAACACAGTAAAAGAAGAAGGTCACCATGTGAGCAATGATCTTCCGGACAAAGAAGAAACTGTATATGGTGTAAAATTTCTTCCACACTGTAACTTTCTGC